CTAATGGAGTCCTTCTAACTTTTCTTGTAATTTTCTTGTCCCCCCCCTCATTCATTACTGGTCTTATTATACTCATCTGCAACTTTCTGCCTTGGCCATTCCTTTAACAAACTTCCCTGATTCCAGCCTGAGACCTTCATCTCCTGCTTTATCCTCTGTGCCTAAAATTCTTTGAAGATTTACCATAGTTTTACAACCATTTGTTTCATGACTGTTCAAAATTACAACACCATTAAAAAGGGACTTATTATGAACTGACTAGTCAAGGGATGGACGTTGCATGGTGGCCATAAGTCCAGATACAATCTCGATATGAGAAAGATGCTAAAATGTATGCTTTTAATAAAGAACTCACAGAATTAGAGCAGATGGATAACTGAGATGGATGAAAGATTAATGAAGCTATGTAGCTATTTATTAAACATCAAATTGGAAAGTGAACAAGTAAAGGAGAGAATGATAGTTTGGGCTAAAAACTTAGGATCTACAATAGAACTAGATAAATGGCAGAAATTGTGGGATAGGAATGTTCAATTAACTATGTCAACTGCCTATAAAGAAAACTTGTAAAAATGCTTTATAGGCATTTTTCACCAACAAGATTGGCAAAGATGTTTAAAGATATGTCTGCTAAATGTTGGAAGTGTAACCAGACACCTGGTTCTTATATGTGGAGGACATGCCTAAAGGCAAAAAAAATACTTGGTTGGAAAAATGATAAAGCAACATATAAATTTGAAACCAGAAATATTTTTGTTGGGCATCCTACTGGAAAAGTAGGATACAGGGAATATATATTTAATTTTACATGTACTAACTGCAGCCAGAATTGTATTTGCACAACAATGGAAGAGATCCTGACAGATGAGAATGTAATTTAAAAAATATTAGAATGTGTAGAAATGAACAGATTAATGCTTACAATTAAGGAAAAGGAAGGAACTGAATATTTCTCGACATAGGCCTTATTTTACCAATGGTTAAATAATAAAAACAGAAGTTAGAAACATGGGGATAAAAAAGGATTAATGTTATAAAGGAGATTTGTTAAAGTACCTAAGTAAATTATTATAATTATTGAATTAATATCAATGTGATGAATATTATTGTAAACATTTTGATTATAATTTCCTAAGAATAATTGCATCCAGACAACAGTGTTTAATTGAAATTGAATTTTTATATGTTACATAAAACAAAAAATTTGAAAAAAGAAAAAAGGAACTTATGACCGTTTTCACACTTATGACCATTGGGAAGCTTGTCAACCTGCATGTATTTATGATGGTTGCAGTGTCCCTGTCTTGCTTAGCAATGGAAATTGCCTGTAGGGAGAACAGAACAGAATAACAGAGTTAGAAGGGACCTTGGAGGTCTTCTAGTCCAACCCCCTGCTTAGGAAGGAAAAGACTCCCTTTGCCAGCTCACTTTCCACATTTGCACTAGAGCAAAATTGTCATGGACTCTTTCAAAATATAGAGTACAGATCCCGAAAAACACTCCTGCTGGATCAGCCCAAACTTTCATTTCTCACTGATGCTTCTGGGATGACTGCAACCAGGAGACTCAGGCAGCTCCGTTTAATGCCCTTGTGGGTAGTCCTTGACTTAGAAACACTCGTTTAGTGACTATTCGAAGTTATAACACCAATGAAAAAAGTGACATAAGGTTTTTCCCCCTTGTGATCATTGCAGGCATTCCGTGGTCACATAATTCTTTACTGAAAAGAAACTCAAGACTTGTATTTTCTCTTCAGATTAAGGTTGAAAATTGCCTGAAGCCTCAGAAGGAGCAGAAAGAAAAAATAGCTACTTACAAAAGAGACACAGAGCAAACACTGCAGGAGATGCTTGTAAGTATTGATCCAATGCTGAGGAGCTTCTGAGCTAATAGGAAGGAGAACCCCACCCGCCATCTTGGATAATAGGCAGCCTGTTTGCAAGTACAAGTTCTGACTTAAAGGAAATTCAAGCTAAAGACAGTATTAGGGCACAGAACTTGTTCTTAATCTGGGAACTGGGATGTCACCATTGGCTGAATGAGTCACAGTCGGGTTAAGTGCAGCTATCCCAGGAGCTGTGTTTTTGTCAGTGTGTGCATGGTTTGACTATGTGAGAAAACCCAGGAGCAAATACAACAAACAGAGGTTTGTATTAAATAGTGGTTTTATCTACAAAGAACATATACATACACGTACTTTAGTCAGCAATAACAGCCCAACAGCCTTGCTGACTCATTCCCAGCATTACATCATTGTAGCATTGCCTCATCGTAGGCAGCTCTTAAATCATTGCCCTGACAGTTTTATAAAATGGTTTGCTTTCCTTAATAAATTAATGCAAACCATATTTCATTTTATTGAAAAAATTGTGAACTCAAAACACTTTTCTGTGTACTTTTTTGTAATCCCTGTCAAGAAAATTTTCGTGAGATATTATATATAAACCGGAACCTTTTTTAAAAAAAAGAAGCCTTCCCCCCCTCCCCCTCCCCCACACTTTTTAATGTCAAAAGGTTTTTTTTCTCCTCAGGAAATTCTCCCACCTCACTTCTGGATTCTTCAAGGAATCCATTTAATTATTATAACAATTAAAATAAAAATAATTAAGTAAAACAAAATTAAAAGACGCCTTTTGCTTTTTCTCTCTCTTGTAGGACCTCATTGAAAAAGTGAAAAAAAATGTAGTGGCTGAATTCAGAGAACTACAACTCTGGTTAGAAGGACAGGAGAAGCTTCTGCTGGCTAGAATGGAAGAGACGGAGGAGGATATTATGGCAAGAAAGGAGAAGGGTTTGGCCAAGCACATGGAGGAACTGAGCTCTCTTGACCATCTGATCCAGGAGATAGAAGAGAAGCTTCAGCAGCCAGCCAGCCAACTCTTACAGGTCAGGCGTCAGCCCTGGATCCATGGGGGAGGGACAGATTTTTAGAGCTGCCACAATGGGGGATGGGTAGGCTGTGGGAAGGGGAGGGTAGCGAAGGGAGTATAGCCACAACAACGTTCTTTCGCAAGAGATCAAGGACAAGCTGCTGGCACCTGGAGGGGAGTGGACGAAGTTTGGCAGTAGCTGAGACAGGAGGTTGATTGGGCCATGTGACGTGAAGGTCACTGAATGGAGCAGGGTTTGAATTTTAGTGTGGAGGGGGGAAAACGTGGGAATTCAGATTGGGGTTTTCCCCAGATGTGCCAACATGACTTTGATGGACTTTGTCTCAGAGTTCTGAATTGTATTGAGGTTTTACTTGGAACACTGACATCAGGCAGGAAGTTGAGATCATAGAATCATAGGGCTAGAAGGGACCTTGGAGGTCTTCTGGTCCAATCCTTTGCCCAAGGCAGGAGTCCTTATTCCATCCTGAAAAAATGGTTGTCCAAACTGTTATTGAAAGCCTCCAGTGATGTATAACCCAGAACTCAGGGAGGCTTGCTTCTTGTTATTCCCTCAGGTGCTATGGAGAGTAAATCCATGCCCTTTTCCCTTTGAGAGCCCTTCAAGTATTGGAAGATGGCTGTCGTGTCTCCCCTAAGCCTTCCCTTGGTTAGGCTAAGCATACCAAATTCATTGAACTGTTTGGCCTCCAGAGCCCTTATCATCTTTATTGCTCCACTCTGCATACTTTAGCTCCTCCCCAGAATACTCTTTTTGACTCTTTCCTTTTTTTCCATAAATTTAATCAAAAATATAATAGTGAAAAGTACAAATGAAAATAAAGAAATAAGTGAAATGGAGAAGGATAAGAATGGGATAGAAGTGTAGGATAAAGGGAAAGAAAACATCTTTTTTTTCTGCACAGTAAAATGCAAAATAAAATTACAGCCTCAACTTTTTATTTTTGCATATTTAGTCATTATCAGCCATGTCTATGAAAACGGAGTAGTCTAATAAGCAAAATCAAGCATTAAGAGTTCATTATTTCTATCTCGACCACAAAGTTCAGAAGCAGCTTCCAAGTAGAAACAATTAGATCAAATTAAAACAGTCAAGTTTTTTCATTTTTTCTAGCACCATCACTTTTTCCATCCATTCTTCTCTTGTGGAGATTCGTCTATCTTTCCTTGCCTGCATGTCGGATTCTGGCTGCACTTAACAAGGTTCAAAATCTTTTTTTCAACTCCTCATTTAGTAATCTTTTGGACTCTTTCTATGGAAAGGAAACTGGAAGGTATGAAAGCTACAGGTTGTCCTCAACTTATGACCACAATTGGGCCCGAAATTTCTGTTGCTGAGTAAAACAGTTGTTAAAGAAATTTTGCTCCATTTTACGACCTTTCTTGCCACTGTTGTTAAGTGAATGACTGCAGTCCTTAAGTTAGTAACACGGTTGTTAAATGAATCTAGCTTCCCCATTGACTTTGCTTGTCAGAAGGTCACAAATGGTGGATCATATGACCCCAGAACGCTGTAACTGTCATAAGTATGAATCAGTTGCAAAAGTGATTGAATTTTGATCATGTGTCTGCTGCTGCAGCAGTCTTAAGTGTGAAACATGGTCATAAGTCAGTTTTTTCAGTGCCATGGTAACTTCGAATAGTCACTAAATGAACTATTTAGTCAAGGGCTACCTGTAATGGCTAATACTAGGGATACATAATGTAATTCAGAAAAAGCTGGCTATGCGATAAAGCAAGAATTCAAGCTGCTGGTCACTGTCTCTGTATATTTTTCACAATTTGAGGTTCCTATCACCTGTTAAGAGGAGTGGTGGGTGTTTCTTTTAGGGTGTCCCCCTCCCCTTAATCTCTAGGGCAAGGAGAAACCCAACACTGATGGCCTTCTACAAAGTTATAACCACCTGGATTTTCCAAAATGCCTTGATTCTGGAAGTATAAATGCAGGGGATTTTTTTATCCTACTGGTGCACTATTTTGTTTGTCAAATAGTCTTCTTTGCTATTATGTTTTTATGGTATGTATGTATGTATGTATGTATGTATGTATGTATGTATGTATGTAGATAGATAGATAGATAGATAG